TGGGAGGGGAGGTACGAAGGGAAAACAGGGAGAGGGGGCCAACAAGTACAAAATTACAATTAGATAGGAGGAATAAGTTCTGTGTTCTATTGCACAGTAGTGTGACTACGGTTAACAGTTAAGTTTTGTATATTACATAATAGCTAGAGGAGAGGCTTTTGAATGTTTTTGCCACAAAGAAATGGTAAATGCATGAGGTGATGGAAACATTAACTACCCTGACCTGATCATTATACAACATACATATGTATCAAAACATCAGACTGTACCCCATAAATATGTACAATTACAATGTGTCAATTAAAATAAATAAATTTTAGGAAAAAAAGATGGTTTTGGAACTGTCTGGCAGTTCCTTGAATAGTTAGTTATGGAATTACCATATGATCAGCAATTCCTAGGTATAGATCCAAAAGAAATGAAAACCTATGTCCACAGATAAACTTGTACATGAAAGTTCATAGCAGCATCTTCAAAATAGTCAAAAAGTAGAAAGAACCCAAATGTCAATTAACTGATGAATGAATAAAATGTCATACAGTCATATAATTGAATATTATTCAGCAGTAAAAAGGAACAAAGTGTTGACATATATTAAAACGGTAGAAAGAACCCAAATGTCAATTAACTGATGAATGAATAAAATGTCATACAGTCATATAATGGAATATTATTCAGCAGTAAAAAGGAACAAAGTGTTGACATATATTAAAACGGTTGGATGTACATGGATAAACCTTGAAGACATTATGCTAAGTGAAAGAAGACACAAAGATCACATATAATGATTCCACATATATAAAATGCCCAGACAGGCAAATCTATAGAGTAAATTAGTGGTTGCCTAGAGCTGAGAGAGGGAGAATAGAGTGTGACTGATAGAGGGTATTTTCATCATTTTCACATGATGAAAATGCTCTACCTTAGATTGTGGTGATGGCTGCACAGCCATGTATATACACTAAAGCCACTGAACTGTATACTTTAAATGGATGAATTTTATGGTGAGTTATATCTCAATAAAGATGTTACAAAATGATAACTACTATATAATATAGTGAGGTGCTTACTCCCACCACTGCATTAACAAGAGCCTTTAATCAAGTCTGAGGTTGACGTCAAGAACTGCTTCCTCAAGAAAGAGATGCCTGAGCTGGGCCCAAAAGATGAGTAGGAGGGAGCCAGGCTTGAGGAGTCAGGCCACTCAAGATAGAAGGGACAGTACTGAGAAAAGATTCAGGAGTGAAGAATCACATGATGAACATTATCTGGCTATGTGACTGCTTTGCCTACTGGGATATGAGCAGACCTGATGCCGGCAGAGGCTTGAAAAGTGCTTGTGTGACTGTCCATGATTGCCCTTGCACCTTCCTACTGCTTGAGAGTATGATTTTCAGGGTGGAAGATAAAACACACATGAGACAGTGCCAGTTGCCCCAGACATCCCAGCTGAGGCCATTCTAGAACAATACATAGCTAGCTGACCCCAGATGTGTGAGCAAGCACAGCAAAGAACAGCAGAGCCCTCACTGACCCCAAGGTGAAATGACCCAGCCAAGCCCAAGCAGGATCAGCTAACTCAGATTCATCAGCTTAATGTTTATTGTTTCATGTTGCTGAGGTGCTGTGGTTGTTTACTTCTCAGCATTATTTGACGGTAGTTAACTGATACACTCACACTGCTAGTAAAGTGCTGAGAAATGTCTTTAACAGGTAACTGAACTGGTTGTGGAACTGACATTTTCTCAAGAGAGAACAAACTCAAGAGATCTGGAGCCTGAAACTCACTACATGTTCTGCCACACAGAACAGGTGTGACTTTGAGCAAGTTGCATTAACTACTTCTACCTCCATTTCCTCACCAGTAAAATGGAGATAGTACTAGTATATCATGCTATAATTGTAGGATACTAGGATTGTTTTGAGATTAAATTAATATATTAAATTAATACAAAAATTAACAAGTATGGCACATAATATGAGCTTCATAAATGTTAGATTAAAGAATGTCTGAACTTGGCAAGGACCCATGACTGAATAGGAGAATCCCCATCTCTGCACAGATGTGGGCTGAGGAAGTTTTGGCAGGCAGGGGCCAAGATTCTGCTCTAATATAGAAACAGGTAGAAGTTCTAAAATTCTACACTGTAAATTATTCTAGGGCCAAAATAATTTTGACTGTTTTAAGAGCCAGCATCAACTAAATGCCTACCTCAGCTATTAGAAAATGTCATTAAAGCACTTTAGGAACATATGTCCTGGGTAGATGCGGAATGACCGATTAATAGATAGATACCAGGTTTCTTTTTGGGATGATGAAAGTGTTCTTGAATTAGTGGTAACGGTTACACAATAATGCGAATACGTGAAAAACCACTGAAATGTATACTTTATAATGGTTAATCTGGTGAATTTTATGTTAAATGAATTTTATCTCAATAAAACAAAAAAGAACATATGTCCTTGAGCAATCTTGCAAACCAGTTATACCCACCAGTCACAGGTTAGGGGTACATTAAAAACAACAGGAGACTCTGGCTTTGGAATAGCTATTTTTCTTTGGCAGAGGATAACTGGCCTAATTCTCTATTTGAGGCCACTCCCAGCTCATGATAACAAAACCCCATCAGCTATATACAATAGCTAGCTCAGATTTTTAGTGATGCTTAATATATGGTAACCACTCTTAAGGTACTTTGTAAAAAATCAATTTCCTCAGCAGGGGCATGAGTGGTATTTTGGGGGGACAGTGCTGCCTTGAGTGCTATACTTACTGTCTCTGACCATCCCCCCAGCCTCCCTGCCCTTTTTCAACCACCCCTGGTGAGCCCTCCCAAATCTATGAAGTTGAGATTACATTATTAATGAGGAAACTGGGGATCAAAGAGGTTGAACAAATTGCCTAAGGTCTTGTTTTCGGCCGCTTGTCAGTATGGCGATCAGAATCCACGACCTTGGTGTTACTAGCACTATGCTCTCCCAAGTGAGCTAATCAGAGTAGTCCGATTCTAATGTCTGATTTCTGAAACATGATTTCTATCGTTTGCCTATTTTTCTATTCTCTGTAAGGGGGTGGGAATGTGTATCTAACACATCCAAATGTGATATCAAGTAACTTTAAGGTAAACATGGGTTAGCTTATAACCTCAGTGATCTACAAAGTCAAAGGCCAACGGAAAGATCAATAAAAGGCACATATTTCTTTTTACATTTATAAAAGACTTCTCCACAGCTATGAACATAATCATGATTAATAAAGAAATGACCATGGCTAAATCTCACCTGCTCTTGTGTAGACACCAGCCTAAGGAACTCAGATTAGCCATTTATCCTAATAGGAAACAGGTACACATTTTACAAGGGAAGATTAATAACCTAAAAGGCTGATAATGTGGGGGACTAAATAACTGGCCTTTTAAAAACCAGACTGAGTACTCGGGAGTGCAGCCACAGGACAGCAGACCCAAAGCCTTCACAAGTCCAAGAGCACACTAGCCAGAGCCCCCAGCCAGAGCCGCTGCCCTCTCACAGCCTCCTCCCTGGGTACTTCATTTCCTACAAGCTTCTTGATCAATTGTACAAACAAAGGAGGCTTAATAACCTGTACAAATAAAGCACCCATTGAGACCAGCAATTTATAAAGCTGGAAAAACTTCTGCAGAAAGAAATAACTTCACTCACCGAATGCCCACCCTAAGCAACTATGTCCCCAAACCTACCCTTGTCATTCAAACAGGCGGCCACAGGCATTCCCATGTGGATTTATTAAAAATGAATTTTCCTAAGGCAATGCAAAGTTTATAAAAGTGTTTTGTTTTGTTAAACCTCTCAAGTAGCTTATTCAAGTTTGTGTTCCATGTATCACTGTGCTAGGGAGATTTTATTTTTGTTCCTTTTTCTCCTCTCCCAACCAGGCAACTGAGAAGAAAGTCTCTGGTTCCATTCTTCTTATCCTTTGACTCTCTCCATCCCAATCCCGAGTATAAACAGGTCCTGCAGAATGTCACAACACTTACCTTTAGAAATTGACCCTTTTCTTCTGTGTATACTTACAACTCAGTAAATGAGTTCCTTGATTCAGGTCCCACTAAACCATTTTTCTTCTATTTAATATGTTACCCCAGCTACCAATCCATACTTTTGAAACAAATTCTTCCTTTCTTAAATGGATTGATAACCCTTTGCTACCTCTCTAAACAGAAGACAGTAGTTTTTAAAAAGAAACACACCATGACTTCTTCATATCTATAATTCCACATTCCCATGAATTCAATCTGGACTTGCCACTAATTAGTATGACATGTAGCCAGCTACATGTAACTGATGATCAGAATTCAACATCAGTAGATTCAAACAAGATACTCTGGGTGACTTTACAGTCCAATATTGCTGAGGCCCCATGTGTTAAGATGAAGATGATGGTAACTGTAGTAGTAATAACAGTGGCAGCCAATACTTGAGTCCTTACAACATACCTGTCAGTTTTAAGTACTTTACAAGTATTAATCTAAACCCATGAAATGGGAGCTATTATTACCCAAATTTTCCAGGTAAAGAACTAAAGCACAGAGAAGTTAAGTAACTTGCCCAAGATCAGAACTAGTATAGAACCAAGCCTGGATCTGAACCCCGCCAGTCTGACTCCAGGGCTCCCACTCTGAACCACTAATGCTATACTGCCTCTCAATATAAACAAGAATTTAACTCGGAAACTTGCCACCATAAAATAGAGTTTTAGTTAGCCAAGTGAACTGAATTACAGAGAAACGAAAATCCGGATTTATAGCCCTTTTCTCATAAGGCAATTTGTGGAGGTTCTAAAACACTGCAAGAAACACTTACTTTATTATGTCAGAGAAATCTGAAACAGGCAATTTTGAGAAAGAATCCTATGTTTAGCCAAAAATGCAGAAGGAAGTTCAGCTAATTGAGGCTGCAAAAGCACAGTTATATTCTCCTAATTATACATGCAATTAAACAGAGGTTTCAGATAGGATTACCTTGTTTTCTTCTAAGTTCCTTTTTAATTTTTCTTCCAGGTCCCTGGTCTCTTCTGAGCCCTTGAGTTTTATCTGCTCATAATTTTCACGTGCTTTCTTGAGCTGCTCTTGTAATTCCTGGTACTCTTTTTCAATCTGTGAAATATCCCCCTAAAAGTAAATTACAAATCTATTAAAAATAGCTTAATATGCCTATTTATGATCTTGTTCTGATCTGTCTCTTAAAATAAACAAAGGAGAGTAAAAGGAAGATGAAAATTTACAAAGGAAATGTCACAATACTTCAGGAATTAAAAAACCCTGAACACTGTTTAGTAAAGCCAGCTATTTCTTAAATACAATTATTCATATTATTGGAATTCATAATGAAACTTTTCACTCTGTATTATAATTAGTTCTGAATATTTATTTATTTTAGAGGGGTTCAATATTAGACCAGTAGATTGATATGTCACTCTCCAAAATTAACAACAAGAACTACTTATTAGGTTTTAAAAACTGCATATATTATTCATATTTTAGATATGAACAGAACATATTAACTTTGGCCCTACTTTTAAGTATTTCAAATGGATAGCTCCTGGTTATTTCAAAGACAAGTTAAAATATCATCAATGAATGTTTTCAGTTATCTGTCCCTTAGACCAGCTTTAAAAAACTAAACAAAACAAAAACAGAAGCCATACTGTAATATGAAATGTTGGTAAACAATAAACATCACTTAAGCCACTGCTAAGACTGTCAGCAATCTCACACTTATGTTGGAAAAGAGTATCTGTTTGATGCCATCAACTTCTCCCAGCTTAAGGTGACTCCTGCAGCAGCCAGGCTTTGGAAATATATCCCAGTGGCATAAACCTGTCCATCTTTGACATCTCCTGGACCTCTGCAATACCTTAGCGTCTTGCAAGTGTAAAAAGGCAGGGAATCGAGCATTTGAAATTCTGTTAAATTATCAGTTAAGAGAACTGTGAACTACGGCCAGGCGACCAGTTTGCCTCGGAAAGTCCCAGTATATGTCTGTCCAGATTGAAAGTTTCACACCATGAATACAGCCCATGTTTAAATAAAAATTAAATGGTCAACCTTACTATAAACCATGAGCAAAACTCTGGTTTAAGATCCTAGTTACCTCTATTTTCATTCTCAATTCAGCAAAAGGATCAGCAACTCGGTATTAAGAATTAATTTATATGCCCCAAATCACCAACAGAGACAGGCAGGAAGTTAAATGCCATTTCTACATTATTACATTTAAACTTCACTACACTTCTGTTTTTATTTTGTTTCTATTTTTTGCCTTCAATAGATAGGTCATAAAACCAAGCCTTAGGTCTGTGAAGCAACTTTTCAAAGTCCCAGAAGAAAGCAGCAGCCTTTGTCTAGTCTTAATTAAATCATGTACAATAGCCAGTCTCCAAGGTAGCCCCAAGATTCTAGCCTCATGGCATTCATGTCCTTGTACAGACCTCTCCTACCATGTAGCCACATTGGTGGGTTGGTCTACGTGTCTGAGGGAATACAGCAGAAGTGATGAAGTATGACTTCTTGAAATAAGTCATAAAAGCCATTGCTGCTTCTGCCTTGGATCACTCATGCTGGGGAATGCCAGGCCCTACACAAACACTCAAGCAGTACTACGTAGAGGTCTACAAGGCAAGGAACTGAACTGCCAGCAAAGAACTTGCAAGCCATGTAAGTTAGCTGTCTTGGAAGTAGAACCATCAGCCCCAGTTACTCCTGCAGATGACTGAACCCTAGTCTCAGTAACCTCATGAGGATCTCCAGTACCATCCAGTTAATCTGCTCCTGAATTCCTGACCTAGAGAAACTGTGAGATGATAAATGTTTACTGTTGTTTTAAGGCACTAGGTTTTGAAGTAATTTGTTATACAGCAATAGATAATACACTCTGTTCATGTGTGTACTGTGATTACATTTTTAAAAGCTTTAGGAAGAACCAACATTCTATTATAATAGGTCTTCCTATCCTAGTACACAGAACACCTTTTGATTTAAGTCTTTCTTTAGTGTGTGTCTCTCAGTAGCATTTTAAAAGTTCTCTTTACATTGATTTAAGTATTTTATCTTTTTGTTGATATTGAAAATAGAAGGTATATTAGAAGAAAATACTCCAACAGGCTGTTATTTGCATATAGAAAATTATTTATTTTGTATCCAATCACCTTTCTGAATTCTCTTACATTTTGAAATAGATTTTCAGTTGACTGTTGTGGATTTTACAGGTACATAATCTCAGCCTCTGTAAAAAATGATATTTTTACTTCCCCTTTTCCATCTTTCTTTCTCATATCTAATTTTGTGAGTTAATAACTCCAGGATAATAAATATTAATGGTGACATTTCACATTTAAACAAGATGGCTTTTGGCTTAAGAGAGAAAGATACTAGCATGCTGAGAAGTATTCATCAATTCCCATTTTATTATCAGCTTTGGTCAAGAAAGGGATCTGAATTTTATCCAATACCTTTTCTGCAACTACAGAGTTGATCAAATAACTTTTCTCTTGTAATATATTAACAAAGTAAATTATACTAATAGATTTTCTAATTGAATTATTCTTAAAGTAGTGAATGTCTTTATATAATTCCTTTCTGTACTATTCATGTGAATAAGCTTACTTATAAATTAATAGGTGCTCATTATACCAATTAAAACAATGAAGCCACTATACTTAGAAATAAAAATATGATAGGAAAAACCTTACTTTTTCATATGCCTCTGTTTCTCAAGTTTCAACAATAAAAACAAAATAATTTTTTTGTTATGTTCCAAAGCTTATTCCATGATAAATTCATTATACCAATTAAAACAATGAAGCCACTATACTTAGAAATAAAAATATGATAGGAAAAAACTTACTTTTTCATATGCCTCTGTTTCTCAAGTTTCAACAATAAAAACAAAATAATTTTTTTGTTATGTTCCAAAGCTTATTCCATGATAAATTGGTATGGAATTAGCTTGCTACAAAATAATTCTAGTTCATCATTCCCATCAAGATAAACTGATGAAAATTAAACCTTTCAATAGCTGAATACAATTTTGACTCACCTGTTCTACCTCAAAAGGATCATAAGGTTCAGTATTGACTTCTTGGTGTATTATGTTCCAAGATACCTACAGGGCAAAACAAACATTTAAATTCAATCTATCTTAATTGCTCCAGTAAAATAAATCTGTCATGTAATAACATTTTAAAACATGCCCACAATTTTTTCAAGGGTTCCCACCCCCCGCCCCAATTTAGATTATGTTCCATGCTTTCCATAAATATTTATATTAGGGAAGTGTTATTATTCAGAATTAATGTAACTGAAAATAATTTTGGTTCATTACTCTTAATATATTTTTTTCAAAGCTTCCTAGAAAACAGAAAACTTAATGAGGAGCGGGGCAATTCAATAAGGATTTAATGAATTCACACCTTATAAAGGTAGCCACAGAGAAACCTCAATTTATTCTCATACTTGATAGGAAGAAACTCATATGCATCCCTCCTGTTTTTCCCCCTCTGGCTGTCTCTTTTTAACACCCTCATTCTTCCCCTGGTTTGGCAGAAAAAGCTGGGCATGTGTAGCCCATACTCTTCCTTTTTTCTCTGGGGAGCGCCAGCACATTTCCCCTTCTTCCTCTTGCTAAGTCCTAGGGGGCAGGCACCCAAGCAAGAGGCCTCCTGGTCCAGCCTTGCTATAGGTGGTAGGTAAGCTAGTATGCTGGGGGATTCACTGTTAGCACATGCACTTTTCTACAGAAACAGCCACACCCTCTTACTGTGCCTTTATCATTATTATCAAGGAGATGCTTTGGCTCCACCTGCTGACTCCTTTATCTTGTTTTTCAATTGCTATAAAATTTGGGTAATGAAGAAGAGTATTATTTACTGGAACCAAACTTCTTTCTCACAAGATTATCTGCTGTGCCCCACAAAGGGGTTCGTGTTTGTAAAATATTTTCAGGCAAAAGCTTTATTAACCATTATAAAGCCAATAATTTTTAAGAATTTCAGTACATATAATGGCAATGAAAAATGAAAAGGAAAATTTAACTTAAGTATTCAGTAAGATTTTTTTCTATTTAAGTCTTACCTGTATGGCAACCATCTGTGTATGTGGAATATTTGTTACTGCATTGGTACTTTCAGGATTTACTTCACATTTATTGTTAGAATTCCCACAGTGTCCATCATTTCTGTTAGACTCACTTGGGGGTGTATTAGCATCACCTGTGCTACACTGTGACTTTACAGATACTCCCAAAGAGTCCTCAAGGATCTGTGTTTCAGAGACAATCTGGTTATCAGCAGCATTCTCAGCATTCAAATGATGACCCTCAAAATAAGCAGTGGCATTTTTATCTGCTCTGTCACTGGCTACAAAAGATGGCACCACTGGTATTGATCTTTGCAACTGATACTCGGAAGAAATGCTGGCCAAAGATGTGTATATGCTGGTGTACTGGGGCAAACTTGGTAACACATTTATATATGTTGGCGGCGTCTGGTTGATGTCAAATCCTTGAAAAGGAAGATATGTACAATATCCTGTGACCAAGTGGGATTGAGTCCAATAGGTTGGTTTCACATCTTCAAGAACTGGTTTGGGAGAATTAGAGGAGACTCGCTTTTTACTTGCATCCTCAGAGACTGGTTTGGGAGAATTAGAAGAGACTCCTTTGGGTTTTCCATCCTCAGAAACTGGTCTTAAAGAATTATCAGATACCGGTTTGGGCTTCACATCTTCACAAGCTGGTTTGGGAGAATTAGCAGGCACAGGTTTGGGCTTCATATCCTCAGAAGCTGGTGCTGAAGATAAATCAGAAACTGGTTTGGACTTTCCATCTGGTTTAAATTCCCTAGCAGCTGGATTCAGTGGTAGTTTAACTCGTAAATACTCTCCCGTTCTTGAAACTTCTTCTACTTTTGTTTTAATGTTTTTCTTCTTTCTCTTTTTCTTGAGCCGTAATGCAACTTTCTTCAATGCAATACAGTTGTCAATCACAACAAAACGAGGACATCCCAGGAGAAAAGATTTTAGACCTCCTGCTTTTTCTAGTATCTGTCGAGTTTCTTCAGGAAAAAACTCATATTCTTCAGAGAACATCTTGTTACTCATGTCCAAGGGACCATGTTCCTCCAACAACTGAGAAAAATAACTTGGAAAAAATTTACATTTACATGAGTTACTATATGGAAGTATTTGAAAAAACATGTTTATTTGAAAAAAACGTTTATTCTGCCAATTTCACTTCTCACTGATCTCAATACCTCCCCAACAAACATAAGGTTTACTGCAATCAATGATACTATAAACAAAATTTTGTCTACCCCTTAGAAAATAATCCTTTAAAAAGCTTTTTTTTTTTTGGAAAAAAGCAAAAAGAGATAAAAAAGTTATTGTATAAATTTCAATTATATAATCAGATAACCTATTTAAAAAGCAATGAATAAGCAAGAAAATATATTCTGGAAAAATAACAAGAATGCCAATAACAATGTTAAATGAGAAGAGGAAATCAAATCTCAAAAAATCCTATTTGAATTTGCGTTGAGTAAATCTATTAAAGTTTTTCTGTTTAGGAATGGTGCAATGATTCAGAGGGACTGAATTAATCATGTCTAATCAATAAACCAATATAGTTCAAGATCCAGATCCACAGTAATAAACCCAATCCCTTAGTCTGACTTCAGTTACAAACTGAGTTTGTTCACTCCAGTTCTGGGTCTATTTTCTTTTCCCATTCTTGCATCAGGCTCAACGAGGCTGCTTCTACCAACTGAATTTTGTATTCACTCTGTAACAGCGACATCACTAGCATGAAAGTCACACCGGGCACCACTACCATGGCTTTTTAAAGAACAAAAATCTCCAGAGGGGCTTTCTTAGTAAATTAATGCTAACGAGGACAACTTTTTAGAAGGAAGGTAAAAACAACACTTCTTTAAACAAAAGAAAATCACTTTTTGTGTACATGCTGCTGTGGATTAAATGCATAGGACAACTAAAAATGATTAACCTCTCTATTCAAAGCAACTGATAACTCTGATAAAAACCAAATGCCACTTCTCGTTGTCAGCACTACTGCTCTAAATACTTAAAAGTCATCCAAGAATCTCTTTTAATGTGTTTTATAATGAATATTTTTGTTTTAGAATAATCTCTACTATTGAAATTCCCCCACAAACATGTTGTTTTACAAAGTAAGCTTAAACATGGCTTTGCTTTAAGATCCCATCAAAACTTCATTTTTTATAGAGAAATTTCTAAAAGCAGAAGGGGCTGAGTGAGGGTAAGGTGAAAAAAAATAAATCATTGTAGTGTCAGGAACAATAATCTTTGTTGAGGATTTTGGTTGATTGGTATAAAATAACATAAGCCCCCACCATCTGTCCTAAGAGAGGCCTTTCCAGTCATTGTCAAGCTGCCATCAAGCAACAGCAGAATAATCAATGAATGGTGTATGTGTATTTACTTTTTTTTTAAAATTAAAGCATTCGTTGGACTGTATAGTTTTGCTAGCTACAATGAATACTAAAGAGTATCATTGAAAACTAAATCTTTTCTACCTAGATTAAAATACTTAAATCTGAACTGTGATAATTAAAGAACAGAAACCACTTGAAAGAAAACTACTTTCAGTAATTCAGCAACGAGATGTCAATCACAGAAGGGAATTAGCAACATAGATGATGATGCAGATCCAGGTGATGACTGCCAAGTATTAATAGAAGTCATGTTCCTGAAGAATATATATATATTTTTTTGTCCTTTTTGAGACCAGCCGCACCGCGCTCAGCCAGTGAGCGCTGTGAGCGCACCGGTCATCCCTATATAGGATCCGAACCCGCGGCAGAAGCGCTGCTGTGCTCCCAGCGCCGCACTCTCCTGAGTGCACCACGGGCTTGGCCCCCTGAAGAATATTTTAAGGATATAAAATAATACTCATCATACATTTTTAGGTGAAAATGACAAAATCAAGTGTGTAGTAAAATCATAGTTTATAAATTTTTGAAAATGTTTTACATATATACATTTTAAGTCTGAAAGAATACACACCAAAACTTAACTGTGATTAATCTGGGTGGTAGAATTATTCATAGTTTTAAATTTTTCCTTTAAAATTTTTATTTTTTTAAATTTTCATAATAATTTGTATTATTACTTTTGTAATCAGAAAAAATTCTTTTTCAAAGAAACAGAGCCTCCACATTTTTTCTACTAAGTAGCAATGAATTTTTCATACATTCGAGCAAAACAAAACTTAACCCAACGAGGGCCCCTAGCCCAAAGAGAAATGGTGCAATAACCACATTGTGAATAAAATTTTTATAGTTATTGTTATTTGAAATGCAATACAAAATGAATTTTATACTTGGACTTTTCTAGGCCTTGAAAAGCAGTTTCAGTAGGATAAACATTGGATTCAAAATTGCATAAATATGATTTATTCATAATCTAGTGTCTTACAAGGGTTAGAACAAGTCTATCAGCACACTGAACACTGCTGCTGGTGTGGATATTTAGTGGATATGAAAGGAAGCAAAAGCTGTAACAAAAGATACTAGATACAACTGAGATGATGAGGCTTACACAACCATTTCTCTTCCTGCCAAGTTATGAAATTGATCTCCTCCCTCACTATCTGGTCCCCATTAAAGTCTCAGACTCTAATACGGCTAGTATTTTCTGTATGCAAGAACCAGATGCAAAGAACTGGCACACTGTACATGACAGGAATAAAAAGTAAATAAAGCTAAGTGCATCAGAGATATTAATAGCTGTTATATGTGTGCATATATACATGTTTCTATATATATAACATTTTAGTAATTTGATGATGACCAATAGTGTCTTAAATGGTCATAAATGGATTTTGAAATGCCCTTGAATGTCACTGTCAGCACCTGGGAAAGGAGAGAAATGGAAAAAATATTTCAAAAAGCATTCCCGTCCTATTATTCTGGGTGTGCTCCTTTGAAAATCACTGTTTTTGATGGAGACAGGGGAAGCCAAACCCAGCTGCAACCAGGTTAAGAGCACGCCAAAAACACCATTTCCACATGGGTAGCCCACCATAGCCACGGCAATTGCCACGGCTGCCATAAAAATGGCTAGTCGCTATAGCAGTAGTCACAGCCACTGTGCAAATGGCATGCCAGACACCTGACTGCACTGACACAAGGAGAATCACCAGCGGAGACCAAAAAAGGAAAAAAAACAGGGCTTCTCTCTCCACAAAACACACTCCAGAGTAACAGAAGAAACATCTGCTATATGATAATAGTGGGGGACCTGAACACACATCTCTCAGTACTGGACAGATCATCTTGGCAAAAAATCAACACAGAAACAGTTAATCTATCAGAAGGACAGAACAAATCTATGGTTGTTAGAGAGGGGAGAGGCAGGAAGAGAGATTGGATAAGGGGCATAAAGAATAAGTCTGATTTGTAATAACAAATATACTAACAAAAATAATAAAAAAAAGAAATGAAACTTTGGATTTATGCATCTCCTTTAAAAAATCTCTCTTAAAAAAAAAAAATCACTGTTTTGCACCTGCTCATGATTCTTATTTCAGAATGTCATTTTTATTTGCAATACACTGTAATCCTATCAATGATCATCTTAACTCTCCTGCTATGCTGCAGGCTGCCTGATAGGACTATACCTTCTACTTTTTCTAGAATCTGCAATAGTGCCTAACCTTATGTAGTTAATAAATGTTGGCTACCTAATTAACAGCACTAAAGTGGTGTTAGGAAAAACTAAATGTGGAATAATTTGCTTTAACTATCTAAATACTGTTAGAACTAGAAAGGGCCATTAAAATAGAGAATTGGACCAATTTGTTCTTAAGTTGAAATACTAAAGTCAAGAAAAGGTTAATGCGTAGCAATTATCCCGCTGCTCTTGACTGCTTGTCCAATACTTTTTTACTTTGCTCTTTTTATATATAAAAGTTTAGTTTTATTTTTCTTTCTTTCATTAAACAACCATCATTCTTAAGCCATCATCTGTTTACTTTTAAAAATTCAAAGAATTGTGTTTTGAGATGTACCTTCTTGGTTTTCTATTATCATAAGATATAAATTCTACCTCAGAATAGAAAGAAATCAATCTATTTTTTTCTCATTAAGTGGTTTAATTTTTTCTCACTTACAATGGCAATAAATTCTTTAAGGCACAAGCTACTGAAAACTACACACTACACACTTTAGCTTCAGTTTTGGATGCTAGAAGCAAATTCTAGCCTATTTTAAGATATACTAGTGTAATTTTATAGCTGTTTCCACATTATCATCCAAGAGTTCTCTGGAAATATGATTTGCTCAGCATTTACACTCTAAAGAAAAACCATAAACAGGGAACCTAAGAACATATAACTAGATGCAAGTGAAGAAAATGGAATGACCATATCGCTGATGAGTGACAGGATTTTCAGGAGAATAGTTAGCTTTTAAATTAATTTTCTTTTACAGGTCTTAGCCCTCAATTTCTTTTCTTAAGGAAGGCCTCATGCTCTATTATTAATACCAAGGCCAAAATGGTAAGGTGTTTCTTCAAGTTTCCTAAACTCTTTAGTCAATTGTTTTATCCACCCTACTCAAATTTGACTTAATTGTTAAATTTCACATTCACATTTTCTTTTTTTTCCTTTTTGTCTTTTTTTTTACTGACTGGTAACGGGATTGCAACCCTCGGTGTCGCGCCCATACCGGGGACCGGCAACAGGATCGCAACCCTCGGTGTTGCGCCCGTACCGCGCTCAGCCAGTGAGTGGGAACCGGTCTCCACATGGGATCCGAACCCTTGGTGGGAGCGCCGCCGCGCTCCCAAGCGGCGCACTCTCCAGTGCGCCACCGGGCCGGCCCACACATTCACATTTTCAATCCAAAAGTAACTTCTACCCAAAGTTACCAAAAAAGGAATATGTTTCTGTTTCATTAGATCAATGTCAGGAAGTCAAGACTCTAACACAACACAGGGGTACAAGGTTCTATACCTGTACTATTACTCTAGTTGAACAATTACCATCCAAGCTGAAATAATAACAGCATCCTGGTATCCTTTCCCTAATAAAAGGGTAATACTTCACCAAGCTATATAATTCGTCATTGGAATTATGATATGCCAAACAACTGCATCCATTAACATAAGGACAATGAGATCAAATAATCCTATTATTCTTTGCCAAGTGAATACCTTGGAATTCATGATAAAAAGAGTATGGCTGGAAACTTTATCAGTCCTATTAGGACATACTAGGACAGTTTTAGAGGTAGAAAGTATATTAGCAGGTCAAAATGACAAAACCAATAATCACTAGGACTCTAAATTTAATAATTAAAAATCCTTAATTAACTTTGTGCAATACATGACAAAAGCTCTAACAATATCCCCTCTCCACTGCCCCCCCCAAAATATTCATCCCCTCTGGGAGGAATTTATTGTGAACCAATAAATGAATCCTTTAATAAATATAAGAGACACAAATTAAATAACTTCTGATCTTTAACTGGCAGTCTCGTTATAAAATAGTAGTTGTAGGAATGTTAACCTACTTACTCATATGAGACACAAATTAAATAACTTCTGATCTTTAACTGGCAACCTCAGTATAAAATATTATTTGTAGGAATGTTAACCTACTTACTCATATAAAGTTGAACATTTTTGTTTTGGGTTAATGTCCCACAGTTTCTTATTGCGGACAACATATTCATTACTGTGTTGGTCATAGAGAGCTTCAAATTCTTCTACATCTTGACGAAGATGATCAGGCACTGCAAACGGGCCTGCAGAATCTGAATTGCATCGGCTGGTTAAAAAAAAAAAAAAAAGTTTTGTGAACAATAAACTTTTAGGTGAACCAGAAGAATATTAAACCAAAATAAACATAATAATGGTAACAATATAACTCAGCTTTATGTTGCAAAAAAAGTACTACCAGAGAACTTAATGCACAAAAGTTACCCTTCTACAATTATATTCAAGAAATATTCTATTTGACATTCTGAGTAAGCACTTCTAATTAACCATTTAGTCTTGCTACCAAGAGCAAATTTTTTAAAACTCTAGGTTTTTTTAAAAAATCAATTTGCATTAGTTATAAACTGTTAAAGAGTTAAGAGACAAATGAAGATTTTATTATAATTATTATTAAGTTAAAGTGAGGTTGAGACTGGTAAAAGTACTAATAAGAAGATTTTTTAAAGACAAGTATAAGATGTTAGCATTCCAAAAAGATGTAGTGGTTTGAGTGTGGTGTTCTCGGGCAAGTAACTCAATTACACTGTGCCTCAGTTTCCTTATCAGTACAATGGACATACAGCACTTATCTCCTAGGGTAGATGAGTGGATTAAATGAGTTTATATATGTAAAGCCCTTAGAATAGCACCTGATACATAAGTGTTGATCTCAGTAAAAGCTATGTTATGGTCTGAATGTTTGTGTCCCCCAAAATTCTTACATTGAAACCTAATCACCAATGCAATGGTGTTAGGATATGGGGCCTCTGGGAGGTGATTAGGTCATGAGGGGCAGAGCCCTCATGAATGGGATTTAGTGCCCTTATAAAAGAGGCCCCAGGGCCGACCCCGTGGCTCACTCGGGAGAGTGCAGCGCTCCCGCCGCGGGTTCAGATCCTATATAGGGATGGCCAGTGTGCTCCCTGGCTGAGTGCAGTGCGGGCGACACCAAGCCAAGAGTTGCGATCCCCTTACCGGTCACAAAAAAGAAAAAAAAAAAAAAAAGCCCCAGAGAGTGGCCTCACTTCTTCCACCATGTGAAGATACAGAGAGAAGATGCCATCTATGAACCAGAAAGTGGGCCCTCACCAGACACCAAATCTTCTGGTGCCTTGCTCTTGGACTTCCCAGCCTCCAGAACTGTGAGAGATAAATTTCCATTGTTTGTAAGCTACCCAGTTTATGGCATATTGTTATAGCAGCCCAAGTGGATTAAGACAGATTATTATTTTAACTTATAACAATTCTTCCATAAAAACGACTGTGCAAAATTTAACTGTTCTTAAATCCTTTAAGAAATGTGGGGAAAAAATTGTGTGAATTTTGATCCATAAAAGATCAAATATAATATAAAAAGGTAACTGCTACTCACTAATTTCTTATGTTCATTTGTTTCTTGAAAACTCAGTTTCAACAACCAGATGGCATTGAAAATCAGTTAACATATAAGGTTAAAACAAAACACCATATACAGCTTTCAAGACAACTTCCTCCTCCTATTATAGCAAAAATGCTAATAATTATCAATAGGATATTCTATTCATTGAATATTTTCTAGATTTTTTCCTTGAATTTTCCCACAGTACCTTGCAGATGGTAGGTTCTCAATATATACTTATTAAATGAATGTCATTAGTCCTGCAACTTTGACACAGTTTGAATAAATTCTCAGAGTATACGAAACATGCTATAAATTCAATCAAGATGGATTACATCGGGTTTTTATAACAGATACACATCTTTAGAAAAGGAAGCTATGGAAATAAAACACAATTTATACTACATTAAATTAACACCACTTAAGGGAATACGTCTGAGTTAAAATGAAGCAAAATTTGTAAAATTACACTTACTTATGGTCTTCACCTGAAGTAACAGTCTCATTATTTGGTGTTACTGAGGTTGTTCCAGACCCAACTAACATAGGCTGGTTTAAAAGACAGAAAAATGACAATCATTTTTCTACCTTGAAATTTCATGAAAGAAAAAACTTTACCATTAAAATTGAGGAACGTTTACATAAACATGCATGCTAATTGCCAATATAAAAGACCTACCCCAAATTTTCTTGTGAACAAGAACACATAGTCATTAAGTTTCAACAGCCATAAATAAGCTTAAATTAACATTTAGGATAGTTTCCAATATTCAAAAAAAAAAAAAAAAAGTAAATTTCACTCAGTTTAAACTCCCAGTTTAGCTAAACTAAAGACGTATAGTCAAAAGATAAAAAGAAAAGTTTTCTTGGAGCTTTGAAGCTGCTCTCATCCTCTACTAATACTTGCTCATTTTCTCACACCTCTGCATCCCCTTATGCCCCCCACGTATACGACAGCCATGAAGAACCCACCATGAGACTTAAAAACAATACCCTACTTATTTCATAGGCCTCGAGGAGAGCCTTAGGTGAGAAAAAGGAAAGGATCCTATCAATGCTGAGTGTTATTAGTATTCATCATTTTTATTTTGAATATTTTAGATAATAAATACTTAAACAACAGAAATAATTCCAACAAAAGCTTTTAAATACTAGAAACTACTATTCTGCTTATCTCCTCATAAAATTCAGTTTAGTAGCAATAATAGCAGATGATATTCTATCTAATAAGCACAAGAACTCCATTAATTAATAATAGGTATCATTATTATTTTTGTTATATAGATGATGACACTAGGGTACAGGGAAGTCAAATAACTTGCCTAAGGTCACCCAGATAATAACAGGTAGAACAAAGATAGGAACCCAGGCCTGACTGATCCCAAAGCATTCTTGGCGACTCTGCGTTATAATCACCCATACAGAGTCCTACATCATAACAATGATTTCACTTGGAAATATCTAGAAAATAAAAAGGATGACAGTCTCTTTCAAGAGTTACTCATATACCAGTGTACTTCAAAAAGTTCATGGAAGGGCCAGCCCGGTGGCACACTGCTACAGTGCGCCGCTTGGGAGCATGGCGGCGCTCCCGCCGAGGGTTCGGATCCCACATACAGACCGGTTCCCGCTCACTGGCTGAGCGAGGTGCGGGC